GTGTTTTGCCTGCATGCAAGCGCACTACTTGCAAGCCTAGTGCTCACAGAGGCCAGAGGAGGGCATCAGATCCCCTGGAACTGGAGTCATGGACAGGTGTTAGCCACCATGTGGATGCTGGGAACTGACTCGGGTGCTCTGGAAGAGCAATAAGTGCTCTTGACCACTGAGCCATCTCTCCAGCCACCAAAAATTAAAATATTTAAAATATCAACTCACTGGGGCTGGAGAGATGGCTCAGTGGTTAAGAGCACTGACTGCTCTTGTGGAGAGCCCAGGTTCAGTTCCCAGCACCCACACGGTGGCTAACAACCATCCATAACTCCAGTTCCAGGGGATCTGACAGTCTCTTCTTACCTCCATTGCCAGTGTACAACACGGGTGCACCTACATGCAGGCAATCCGCTAACACACATAAAGTTAAAATCATAAATAAAATATTTTTAAAAATGTGTCACAAAGGTGTGCTCACAGAGTCCAGAAAAGTACTGAGTAAGGACAAGTGATGGACCTTTGGTTGACAACTGCAGTCTTGGTGATCTGATCTCTAAAATCTTACCTAGCAATGCTGACCCCTGGAATTGCTTCATACATCCTGATGACATCACTGTGGTTCTATGTGCTCCTAAATCCTGGGATGTGTGGGATTGTTAAATCATACATTGAACTTCACATATATACGAATTACCCTAAGGATACACCAAGCTTCAGAGGAGACAGAAGGTTGTTTAATTAGTGGTTCTCAACTAGAAGCAATCTGGTAATGTCTAGGGACACTTTTGGTTGTCCTAACTGGGAGCTTCTACTGGCATGTAGCCAGGGGTGTTGCTGAACACGCAATACTGCACAGGAAAACCCCCACATCAAAGAATTATCCAGACCAACATGTAAATAATGCAGAAATTGAGAAGTCCTAGTCAACTAATAATCAGATTTCCTACAAGAGCAGACTTATTCTTATATATTTACATGAGTTGGTAAAGAGCTGGGTTACAATTGGTGCAGCACTTGTCTAGGACATGCAAGGCCCCGTCTCAGAGTCAGTCTCCAGCAGTGCACACTGTTTTTATTTAAAAATTGGGAAAAGATTAAGAAAACAAAGGAGTTGGTAAACATTTGAGAGTTGGAAAAATTGTTAAACAGATTTTTATTGTGATGTTACTGTTCTGCCAACAAAGCGGGTACTGATAATTTACCACTGAAACAGTTTAGTGAATGGGGGGGGGTGGCGCTGAGGACCAAACTCAGGGCCAAACATGCTAGTCAGGACCTTTACCAACTGAGCTCCCTCCCCAGCCCCTGGGCTGTCTCTGAATAGAGAACTGCTTCAGCCATCCCAAACTTCCTGTTCAACCCCAGGACTGAGGTCCAGGAGCTCAGTCAGTTCCTCAGTCTGCTGACAAGCTCTGTTGGTGAACCCAGGAGCGAAATATGTGCCTTGTAACCAAGAAGGTAGAATCACTTACCAATAGCTTTTTTTTTTTTTAAAGATAGGGAGAGTCTCACTATGTAGCCCAGCCTGGCCTCAAACTCACAGTCCTCTTGCCTCAGCCTCCTGCGTGCCAGGACTACAGTTGTGCACTACCACAACTTATATTATTATAACATTCAGGGTATTCTGCTATGTCCTGTGCAAGGTACAAAATAAGTGCCATTAACATGTTTCTAGTCTCCTGAGAATCGATAGTCTTTGTTGGAGGAAAATAAGAAATACATATGAAGAAATAACCAATGACTCCAATCAGAAAATTGTATCTGCCTCCTGAGTGCTGGGATGATAGGTATGTGCTCCTACACCTGGATTGAAAGCTATCTCAGTGCTTGGAAATGTGTATGAGCAACACTACATGATGAAACAGAACATAAAACTGTACTCTTAAATGGAGTACAGGGCGGCTGGAGAGATGCCTTAGTGGTTAAAAACATTGGCTGCTCTTCCAAAGGACCCAGGTTTGGTTCCCAGCATCCACACGTGGATTAACAACCATTTGGTACATCAGTTCTAGGGGATTCAATACCCTTCTGGCCTCCATGGGTACAGCACATACATGGTGCACTGACATTCAGGCAAAACACTCATACACAGAAAGAATAAAAAAAATATTTTTAATCGTGAAAACAAGACTCCAAGCAGAAGGAAAAGAGCAGAAAGGTGCTGAGTTAGGAGTAAGCAAGGCAAATTTACGTAGCTGGAATGTGACTGTGGCTAGACGGTCACTAATGGCTTACCACATCAGAGGCTGGCTTCGAACTCCCAGTGATCTACCTGTCTCTGCCTTCCAAGTGCTGGGACTAAAGTGTGTGCCACCAGGCCCAGCCTGGATTTGGGTTTTGGTTGTTTGTTTTTAACTTATTTTTTTTTAATTTTATGCGTATGAGTGTATTGTCTGCATGTATGTGAGTGCACCCATCATGCAATGCCACGGAGGTCAGAAGAGAGCTTCGAATTCCCCTAGAACTGGAGTTAAGGACGGTGGTTCGTAGCAGCCATTTGGGTGCTGGCAATCAAATCCAGGTCCTCCGCAAGAGCAGTGAGTGCTCTTAACTGCTAAGCCATCTCTCCGGCTCCTGGGTTTTTATTTATTTTCTGCAGTACTAGGAACCAAACCCAGGGCCTTGTGCGTGCTAGGCTCTACCACTGAGCTACATCTCTAGTTCCCTTATTCATATTTTTATTTTATTACATTTATATATTTATGTATGTCTGTGCGTGCCACGGCACACATGTGGAGGTCAGAGGACAGCCTGCAGAAGTTCTTCTTGCCTTCCACCATGTGGGCTCCAGGGACTGAACTCAGGTTATCAGATTTGGTGGCAAGTGCCTTTACCACTGAGCCATCTCACTGGCTCTGATTTATATTTTTAAATTTGCATGGGCTGGAGAGATGGCTCAGTGGTTAAGAACACTGGCTGTTCTTACAGAAGACCCGAGTTCAAATCCCAGCACCCACATGGCAGCCAACAACTGTTGGTAACTCCAGTGCCAGGGGATCTGACAGCCTCTTCTGTCCTCCACAGGCATTGCACAACACAGGCGCACTTACCTACACGCAGGCAATACATGCATACACATAAAATACAAATAATTTTTAAAAAATGATAGCTGGGGTGCTGGAGAGATGGCTCAGTGGTTAAGAACACTGG